ATATAAATATAAATATAACTTCAGCTATCTGAATTGCAAAAATTTGGGCTCGGTGACTGGATTTATCTCATGACACATTTTTGATGAGGTGTCGGTGCTGGATGAGGTGTGCCAAAGATTCAGTCAAACTTCTGGAGGCCTGAGGGGAAATAAGACCTCACTTTGGACCTGCTTCCATTAGGAATATAAGCATCTTCAGCCAGGATAAAGAGGTGTGCTTGTCTCTGAAGAGAGGTCATCATCTGTAACCCCCTCCTAGGGCTAGGTGCTTATCCATAAGTGTTCCTCAAAACCAAGATGCTCTTTTTTATCTTGTGCCCAGTAACACTAGAAAGAGACAGCTTTGTCAGCCAGCTGCGATTTTCTTTGCCAAAGCTGGAAAAATCTCAACAGGGAAGGATCATAATACACTCATCCAGTTTCTGATACTCTGTCATAGAGCAGCCAGCTCAAACAGGCACCACACTGTTGGCAAGCTCTGTTTGGTGATCTTTTTTTATCCTGCTGCTTCAGGAGAACCTCCAGTCTTTCCCTGCATTTGCTCATTCACATCTCTACACATACAGTCTTCTCTGATGTGCTCCTTTGGAATTGTATAAAGTTATCCCTGTGAATGAATCAAATAGGGGGGAGTCCAAACAAAGTGAAGAAAAATACCCTATAACAATAAAATCCCCATTTGCACTTCACATTTGTCACTGAAAATTACACTTCACCTATTTACATATCTGGCTAATCTCATGTAACCAGTGAAGGATGAAAATGAATCATTTTCATGTGTCTATTCCTAAAAAGAAATGATTCCTGAAATATGCCTTCAAAAAATTATTTCATATGCCTATTGCTCTTGAACTTCAGTTGAAAGCTTGACAAAGATTGACTTTTACTGCTTACTATAACCATACAGACCAGTTGTAGGTGGCTTAACATGTCTCCTGAGCCACTCCAACAGTCATTGCCATAATCCATGTCTCATATGAATATCCTGTATTCTTACAAAGTGTATATTAGCCAAAACGTAGAACCAGTGCACAAGAATATGGTTAAGTTGTGAATATTCATCTGTTTTTTCACTTCTCCCTATTTGCTGTGAAGAAGGTGTTTCTTAGGAGGAATAAAGGTTTTTTTCCTTAAACAAAATTCAATTATATTATTAATGTGTGCTTTTTTACTGTTTGCAATGCAACCAGGGCAGATTTTCCTGTCTTTTGTATGGTGCTGTCAGATATGAAAATGTGCAACATGAAAGAGGTGGTGACTGATTTCTTTTTCTCCTTTAAAGGTATTATCCAGTTGTAAAATTCAGGTTGGGTTATAGTTCTGGCTTTAAAATTCCCAATGTTTTGGGGATCAAAAAAGTTACCATTTACTGTGCCAGTGCTGTTATTTTTTTATTCTACATGCAAAAGATAGAATCACAGGATCACAGAATGGTTTGGGTTGGAAAGGACTTTTAAAGATTATATAGTTCAACCCTCCTGCCATGGGCAGGGGCATCTTTCACTAGATCAGGTTGCCCAAAGTTATGTGCAAAGATGCATGTATCTGTCATGACCACCTTCCTTATACCCAGGGGGCATTATAAATTAGGAATCAAGACTTTCAAACCTTCATTCCCAAGACTCCTATTGCAGAAAGTAGCTGAGTCAATCTGACTATGCTTTGCTGGGATACCTTGTTTCGTCTAAGTAGGCTGTTTTCTACTGAAAATCTTTTATTCTCTTGAACACTTTGGCACATACAGTATGTGAGATCACAGAATCATAGGATGGTTTGGTTTGGAAGGGACCTTAAATCTCATCTAGTTCCAACCGAGATGAGCTGTTTAGACACAAAACAAACTGTAGAGCCAACATAAAACCAAGAACAAGAAGATTAAAGATTAACATGTAACTATCATTCACCTTGGACTGCACATGCATATGCACGCACGCATGGAGTAGTGTTTATTACTTAGTGGCACGTCATAGAACCATCATATGTTATTATCTAACACCCTGCCCCATCACATCTTGAAATCCTCAAGCGATGGGGACTCTACACCCCTGGTGAGGTTGTTCCAGTAAATGGTTGTTCTTACTGCAAAAGATTTATTTCTTCTATTGAGATGAAATCTCTCCCAGTGCAATCTGTACCTGTTGCCCCCCGTCTTCTCCATACAGCTCTTCGTGAATAGAGAGCCTTTGTCCTCTTTGTAGCCACACTTTAAGTACTCTGTGTCTTCAGATATGAGAAACTCTATTTCCTCTACCTGGGAAACTGTATCCTTGAAAACTTACTATCATGTAAAGTGGGTATTTCAGCCAATTCAGAAAATGAGGTTTATGTTTAGCTCTAACATACTAGAGGGCACTAATAGGACTTAATGGCCCTGATGATTCTCACCTGGACCACTCCACACACATGCCCCTGCCCATGGCCCAGGAGCCCTATTTAAGCTCAGTCTAGGGCTGTCAATCCTTCCTTGATGACACTGGAGATCTGTTTAGCTGCAGCTGTGTCTTTGCCTCTTGGATGGATCCTGGATCAAGAGCACAGCTTTGTCTCTAACCCTGCTCTTGGCCCACCTCCCTTTGCTCCTGATGGCCCATTGTGGATGGATCCTCTACTTCTAAATTTCCTTGGACTCTAAATGAAAACACTGTTCACTCCGTCTAACCCAGGTATGAAATATCCTTGAATAACTCCAATATTAAATCCCCTTTTTTTTTCTTCATAAAACGACTTGGTTTTGAGGCTGGACTCTGATGCTTTGCTCCATTCCTCCTTGAAGGTATTTTCTTTCTGTTCCCAACCTATCACATACACTAGAAGTTACTAGAAGCTCTCATGCTACCAGGTGTATGCATTTCCTGCTGTCTCTACATGGCAATGTGGATAGAAGATTTGCATTCAGTTTGCTGTCACAGCTGACTGGTCAAACAATTGCACTGCTTATACCTGGCATGTAGTTGCATCTCTTCCCCAAAGAATTCCTAAGCTCTAAACCCCAGATGTTGGCAGAAGTAGTCATAAATCCATAGCTTATCACTGTGAATACAATTCAATAGCAGGATGGGACCAGCTGTGGTGGTCAAGCATGGAATTTGGCCAGATAAGCTGACCAGCAGCCTGCTTAGTAGCCACTGTCCCCTTTAATGCCTCTTTTCTTGCTCTTCCCTCATCAGCCATGATGCCTCAGTTACTCCACCATTGTCTCCTCCCAAAGAAATGACCTGCCCTGATCACTTCCCCATGTTCATTCCAGTTTTGCTGTATTCATGCCTGGTCTGGGGCTTGGATTGGATAATTTTTAAGGTCCCTTCCAACCCAAACTATTCTATGGTTCTATGATTTTGCTATTCCTGATACCCAGGTAAACTAGACCCATGGTGTTTCTGGAACATTGGTACTGCTGTCCTCATGAGGGTCTGCTCCCCAGTGGTGTCCAATGCTTCCCCTTCAACCGTCTCCGAAGTCTGCCCATCTCTAGCACCTCTGGTGCCCTCCTAACCATGGGTGAAATCTGCCTTTCCATCATGGCGCTGTTAATTTGACCGTTCCTCCTTGTAAGTTATGCCCACTGTTTTTTGATGGTTTATTCAGTGTAACATCGAGCTAGGTCAAACATAGTCACCCTCCTAAGTCACCTTTCCTAAGATGAACATTGTGTCACAGGTGTGTCTGAGCCACTGTTCCTACACAGCTAAGATTCAGGACCCTAATTTTGTGTATCTAACAAGAAATGGTCAACTCATATTTACTTCTCCCTCTTTGATAATCTTCGTTATCAAAGGGGTGAAATATTTATCTCCCAAGGCAACTTTTCCCAGGTATGGCACATAGGAAGAGCTTCCCCACAAGTATTTTAAGACAAAAGCTCTCCTTTTCTTTGCTGCTCCTAAGGCCTTCAGTTGGTGTGGTGTGGTCTGGCATTGGTTCTGTTAATGAACCAATGTAAGTGGTGATCCATCACCTTAGATGGTGTTTTCTATTTAAACCCACAGCTGGGACTTGCAAATTTTGTTTGTCTCTTAAAATAGATGGGGTTTCTGTATCAGCAAAGGGTCCTATAAAGATGTCACACAGAATTGATTGCATCGAGCTGTGTGTGATTGCTAAACCTTATCTGGGGAATGCACATATGTAGCATTCATTTATTTGATCTTAAACCAGCACTGCTCATTAGTAATGTTAAACCTGGCTTCTGCACTGCCAGTTGGAGATGTTCCTGGTTTCAAACACGTTAGCCCAGATTTATTCTTAGCAAATATCCGTGAGGACCTGGATCTCCTCTTTGCCCCATCATTCCCTCTTGGAGGTCAATCAGAAGAACTAAATGTGAGGGATGCTTCTCAATCTGAAAAATACAGTTCCTTATGGAGTGACATAAAGAGAAGTCTTTACAGTATGGGTGGCGTGTGGGGAAGGAGTGCAAGTGTGGCTTTGAGTACAATTTGTGGGTTTAAGGGTAAAATCAGATAGTATAGCTACACCCTGATAGAGGACAGAGTGGCTTATATCCATATATATGGATATATATATATAAAATCCATATTATAGCAGCGACATGTACAAGCACTTGGGTCCTCATGATTGCTATCATCTTTTTCTTTAAGTTTCAATAGTCAGCAGCCAAATGGGGACTGAAACTCAAGAATGTCCAAGTTTATTTTATTTATATGACACCTCTTTGCCAGCTTGATCTCTAAAGGAAACTAGAACTCTTTTTAGGAGTCTCTTGAGAGCGCCCCTCACCTCCATGTTCCTCAGGCTGTAGATCAGGGGGTTCAGCATGGGAATCACCATGGTGTAGACAACAGACACTGCTTTGTCCTGGTTCAGGGAGTAGGTAGAAGTGGGGCGGATGTACATGAAGATCATAGTCCCATAGAAAACTGAGACTGATGTCAAATGTGAGGCGCAGGTGGAGAAAGCTTTGTGCCTGCCCTTTGAGGAGCACATCCTCAGGACAGTGATAAGTATATAACCATAAGAGACAGCAATGAATGTTAAAGTGCTGAGAGCAACAAGAGTAGCAATGGTAAAAAGCACATGTTGGTTGACAATAGTGCTGGAGCAGGAAAGCTTCAGGAGCGGAGGAATATCGCAGAAGAAGTGGTTGATGACATTAGGGCCACAGAAGTGTGCACTGAACACTGAGCTGACAAGCACCATTTGACTCACAGAAGCTATTAAGTAGGATCCCACAGCCAGGTGCACACAAACTTTCTGAGACATGGTGGTCACGTAGAGTAGGGGGTTACAGATGGCCACGTACCGGTCATAGGCCATTGCAGCCAGCAGGTAACACTCAGTGATGATGCAGAATCCACACAAGTACATCTGGGCTGCGCACCCTGGCAAAGAGATGGCTTTCCTTTCTTCAAAGAAGCTCACCAGCATTTTGGGAGCAACTGCTGAGGAATTACCTAGGTCTACCAGAGAGAGGTGGCAGAGGAAGAAGTACATGGGGGTGTGGAGTTGAGAGTCAAGCCTGATTAAAGCAATCATGCCGAGATTCCCCACCAGCGAGGTGACACAGATCAGAAGGAACAGCACAAACAGAATGACCTGCAGCTCCCAGATATCTGTGATTCCCAAGAGAAGGAACTCATCAACAGTTGCATTGTTTCTTCTGACCATTGCCTGAATGAACCTGAGTCTTTAGGTGGGGAGAAAAATCAAAGAACACAAGTAAGTTACAACTCTGGATAGAGGAATAAATAAGTCATAATGATACTGAGAATGTCATGTAGAGATGTAATATAAGAAAATGGGATGCTGCTTTATTTTAACAGAACCCTACCTGCCTGTTACTATGCAAGAACTGAGTACTTAATTCTCTTGAGAAGCTTGCTGTTATCCATTTAACACCTCCATAATGACAGTCTCAAAGAAAGATTACTTTTGTTCCATTGCCGAGATTGTTCCAGGAAGGAGGAGAAACTCCTTAGTCTTTCTGATCTTTTTGAGCTTTTTCTGCTTAGTTCTATTGTTCAATTGTCCTCAATAGCTTATCTGTGTGCATGGTGCCTGGGAGGAATAATAGGATGATTCTGGTTATCTGCTCTCCTATTCTTCAATAGTGAAGCTCTCAGCTTCTAAGATGACACCTAAGTTGGCCACTGCAATTCTGAGAAGTCCCCATAAGAAGATACCCCCAAACTTAAATAAATAAATAAAAATCCATGTAGAAAAGCAGTTTATATTAAAAGCAGATGCTAATTTCATTAAAGCTTATTTGCTGATTCCAACCATAACATCTCAAAGCTGAAGGCAGGAGCAGCGTAGTCACGGACCTTGCCCTGTGTCCCTGAGCCTGTTTGTGCTAATGGCAGGGAGGAAAGTTTGTCCTGACAAAATCATACTTGCTTTTGTCCATCATTAAAGATGGAGCTGTACATAAATTGAACCTGCTTCCTAGGTGGATAGCTGCACTTGAGGTATCTGTTCAAAGCTTCATTTATGGGTATCAAAAAGAAACAGGCACTTTAAGGCAAAATTCACAAAAGTCACTTGAAATGTCTACTTACTTTGGGGTGAAATGACTCTCTTCTTAGAGGTGCTGGTTTCTTGTCACTGCTTATAAAAAGCACACAATGATTAGATAAGCTGTAGAAGTCTGTCTCTGTAGGGGGTAATAGTAAGTCAGACAAATCAGACCATCAGACTCTATAGGCAAAGAATCATAGAATGGTTAGGGTTGGAAAGGACCTTAAAATCCTCTAATTCCAACCCCTGCTATGTTAAATAACAGCGTATCTATGGGTGAAACAAAGGAAAGAACACTATAACCTCATTATCACCTTTTCACTTCTCTTAAAACATTGACTTGAACAAAAATGCCTCTGGTTTTCAGGTTGTGCTCTTATTTTGACATTGCTGTTCAGAATTCTGTAGGAATTAAACTGTTAATTGCAGGTGTATTAACCTCAGCTTGCACGATGGAGCTTCTTACTGAAACAAGTGCATGAGTGAAATAGCTTTTAAGCTGTTGCTATTTTCATTGTCCTGAGAAATCGAGTGTACTTTCAGACAGTTACAGTAGTTGAACTCATTAGTAGCAACTTGCAGAGCCCAACTGCTTGATTGCTATTAATTTTGTGTCATATAAGAAGTTCTAATGGTGTGGATAAATAGATGCTATTAAACAATTCTTCTTTTGCTGTAACCCCACATTTCAGTGCTCACTGAGCCAATATTAGAAGTTCAGTGGATTTTGGTGGTTTGAGATTAAGACTTAAACACACCTTTAGGACTCAAATTCACATTTAAGACTCAAACCAACGTGCATCTGCTGTAACCACAGAGAATGGCTGAACTGAAGCTATCACAGAGCTGCACCAGCCAAGGGCAGAGACTTCTCTTGTGAAGCACTGACCTGAATGTCAGTACTGAATGTCTGACTAAATACAGATTTCCCGGAGCAAGAGTCCAAAAGTCTCCATGTGGGAGGAAAAGAAGCCACATGGACATGTACAAATATTTGTTCTCCTATTTTCCAAAATGAGAAAAGAATCCAGTTTTGGTCAAACCAATTTTCCTTGCTATGACTGAATTTTTAGGGGTAGACTTTTAGCATTCCTTATATAGAAATCCATTAATTTTTACCATTCTGTATATGAGCAGAGACTACAACCATGTGCATTCTGTGTGCAAGACTCAAGGTACAGAGTAAGGCTAGAGAACAAAACAGTGACACAACACACAGTCTGTCAGACTTTATAACATTTCAGGCTATAGATATGTTTCCTACCTTGGAAACTAAGGTTAAAAATGATGCTCTCATTTCCTTGGGAACAAATGCTGCTAGAAAGCTGGACACAGAAAGGCATTTAGAGAAGCCCTGACCATGGCATCAGGTCGGCACATTCTGCCCCTCCTTGTGTGGCGTTAACTACAGCTAAGATGGTGTGCAGAGTCAGCTAGGGAATAGCAATGCCTTCCCAATCAACTTCCACAATCAGTGTCCCTTAAATGCTGTAGGTGTCCCAGAGGAATCAGAGTGATGCAATGGCTGCAGTCTGCTGAGGTCTCTGGTTCATGAATACAGAGTTCCTTAGGGAGGAAAAAAAAAAAACCCTCAGGAACACAAGCAGAGAAATATGAGTAAGAATATTCTTCTCCAGGAAAAGCTGTAATTCTGACAATAAGTTGGCACTTTCTTTTTGTTTTGATTGACATACATGATATTTTCTCTCTGGCCACAGATCCTCTTAAGTCATAGAATCACAACCTGGTTTGGGTTGGAAGGGACCTGAAAGCTCCTCCAGCTCCAACCCCTGCCCCGGCCAGGGACACCTTCCACTAGAGCAGGTTGCTCCAAGCCCCTGTGTCCAACCTGGCCTTGAACACTGCCAGGGATGGGGCAGCCACAGCTTCTCTGGGCACCCTGTGCCAGCACCTCAGCACCCTCCCAGGGAAGAGCTTCTGCCTCAGAGCTCATCTCAGTCTCCCCTCTGGCAGTTTAACATGGGGCCATACATGCAGAGGATTGCTGGCCTTGTGAAACCATCAGCCTTTATATGAGGACTAGAAGGAGCTGACATGAAGGGAGGGGAACCATTGTTTCAAGTTTTGCTGGTCCTCATAAAACAACACACATGTAAGCTGAATTCCAGTCTGCATTCTCCTTACTTAACCTAAAGGTAGTTCACATCACTGCCGGTCTTCCTTATTGGACCATTAAGTTATACTTTTACTGATTTACAGTCTGGTTATCTGAGATTAATACTAGATAGTTGATTAATATTAGACACATGACTCGTCCCTGAAAGTACAACTGGATCAAAAGAGAGAGACAAAGTTCTCTCCTGAACTCAGATAAGCAATGTCCACAGCCTGTGTATAGATTCTTCCTAGAATGCACTCTGGATACTTCTTAGAATTTGAATGTTTATTTCTCTACATGGATTACTAGAGCAGCAGAAGTTTAAGCTGAGAGGAGTAACTTTTAATTAAGTTGACTGATAAACCCTGTATTACCAATATCAAAGAGCAGAAATATGAATCACAACCCAAGCATGGTTATTCCCCCCTACTCTGGACTGGCTTTCCCACATCACCCCCTCCCAAACCACAGCATCTATTACATCCCTGTTGTGTCATGGTTTAGCCTCTGCCCAGCGTTTCAGAAGGTCCAAACACCTCCATCACTGGCTACTGGAAGCCTTGTTGGAGCTTTCCCATGTCTTCAAAGCCTCTGTGGAGTTTTCCTATCTCTTCACAGACTGTTGAAATGGGAGAACTAAGAATCTGTTCTGCTGCGGTGTTCTGCTTTCCTCCCATGTGATTGTTTCGGTCAAGATCTGTGTCTTGCCTCAGGGATGTCATCTCTGACCTCTTTACCCCAGAGCTTCTAGCTGTGTTCTGTGTAAGTGCTGGGGGACAGGGCACGGGGGTAGAAGATAAGATCTGTTTAGTATAATTCCAGCAGCATAAAATTCAACTAAGCAAGCCTAACCTAGCCGTTGGGGCTTATTTTGTTATCAGTGTAGGGAGGGAGAGATCTGCAGAAAGCAAAACATGCTATTTTCCTTAAACTTATTTTACAATCATCCTTTGGAAGTGCCCATTTCTTGCCAGTGATAGCTAAAAGAACCCAGCAGACTTAGGTTAGTAACTTTAAGATGCCTAAAACTAGTTAATATGTGTTCTTGTGCATTATGGGGGTTCCTCTGACTTCCAGATCCTTTGAGGTCTGACGTTGTGCCCAACACAAACTGCATGCTATACAAAGCTGTCCTCATTCCATTTAGATGTTATTGGTGACTCCTGGGAGGAATATCTTGGATTCAGAAGAAATAAAACTCTAAGACCTTATGTGTTTGCCTATGAACATGTATAGAATCATAGAATGTTTCGGGTTAGACTTTAAGATCATCCAGTTCCAACCCCCTGCCATGGGCAGGGACACCTCACACTAGACCATGTTGCCCAAGTCCCTGTGTCCAACCTGGCCTTGAACACCACCAGGGATGGAGCATTTACCACTTCTTTGGGCACCCTGTGCCAGCACCTCAGCACCCTCACAGGGAAGAGCTTCTTCCTTATATTCAACCTGAACTTCCCCTGCACCTGTGGACAAGACAGAAGGAAGGAGAAGACAAGCCATGCAAATAAAGCTTGTTAGATGGAGAATAAAAATGTCAAAAGAGTTGCCCAAGTTTCCTTGTGGAAAAACATATCAGCTTGCACATTTGCCAAGTTAAGCATCTGCTAGTGAAGAGTGGTTGAATTTAAACCTTCTTTTATTGCATCTGTCCATCAGCTGCTTGATAATCTTTACTCACAGCCAGTATCAGGGCTCTTCTATGAAAGAACAAGGTTTAGCTCCTTTATTTTGAATTAATGAAGGAGATTTAACTACTGCTTAATATAAGTAGCAAAGTAACAAACTGCTCTAAATCTTCTTCTGGGTGTGTAATTTCTGTGTTACACAGGGACCTTAGCTAGTGTGAATAAGCACCTTTAATTTGATATGATTATAATCCTGTTACCAGAAGTTCTAATGGCTGCTGGAAATCCATTTTCTAAATCGTTGCAATCATTTTGAGGTGCATTTGAAGTTCTTTTTCCCTTTTTGAAGCTGTTGCTTCAAAGTCACAGTGACTTTGTATCTGTGACTCCATCTTGCCAAGATGCCCATTCTCATTTCAACACTGTTTTGAAGCTTAAAACCAATACTCTGTATGGGTTTCCAGTTAAAAGAAAGATAGAAACATATCAGAGAGTGGGTACAATACCTTTACAGCACATCATTTCATTGGAACATTTCCACACTGAGACAGCACCAGTAGCACTTTAATTATTTGCTCTACTCTTCCCTAGAGAACATCATGGTCTCCCGTGTCCAAAAGGAAGATATAAAATCTGTGACATGCCCCAAAAGAAACATTTCCTGCATCCAGGAAAATAAACCAAATATCTCCCTAGTAGGTAAGTCTCCTAATGAATAAAATTTCCTTCTGTTCAAGGAGTTGTGTAGGAATTGTTCGAAGTCAGTTGCTTTGGATGAATCGCAGGCTCAGAAAAGCTTTGCAGCATTGTGATAGAACAAAAGAAAACAATAAATATGAATATATCTTTAAAAAGGCGGGAATTTAGGTTATTTTTAATTTTTACACCTAAATTTTGATCTGATACCTCTTGCAGGTCCTCATCAAAGACCACTCAGCAGCTTCTAGGCTTTCTCTGCCTTAATCTCTAAGCATGAACCACAGCCGAAAATAGGAGGAAACAGCCACATGTGCGTAACTATGGAGTATTTTTCAGAGCAGAAAGGTTCTTTTTCTTACTTTCATCAGAAACTTCTTAAATTACCTGTGAGTGTTGAAATACGTGGTAATGTTACATGATTACTGGTTAACTGGTCTCAGCTAAAAATAAAGCACAACTGAGTTTTGGCAGAGCTTGTCACCTTATTCTAGGAATCACAACACCTGAGTCACCCCAGACACCTTCTGGAGTAAACAGTCACATCCAGAAAGCGATTCAGGTTTTAGGATGCATCAAGAAAGAAGGATCTTTAAAAAAGATCAAACAAAACTGTCTAAAATGGGATTCATCTCACGATCTAAAGTTTTGGCAGTGAATGGATATTGGTCATGCAGGCTTCATTCTCATCAACAGATGCACATAGCCAGGATATGATGCATCCCACCTACCCCTCTGCAGTGGTTATAAATGGAGCTGAAGATGATGCACTCAGACCAACCTTTAGAAAGCCAAATACAGGTAAGATTGAGTGCCTGGAAACACTGCTGAGAACCAAACCCTCCTATCTGACCCCTCGGGCTCTACTGTAACCATCTAGTGTCCTATCCTGAATGAGTCAGCTTAGATTATTCTATATATATCATTAAGGAACACAGGCATTTCTGGTTTGGCTGTGCCTTTATCCACTTAGCATTGATATTTACAAGACTATTTAACTGACCTGCCAGCAGTCCCTTTATTAAATGTCCTTCTGCAATCCTTATATTTCCTGGAAATATGAAGGTGAGCAAGAGAGATCTGCCCTGCCTGGAATTCATACTGGTATCAGCAGGGAAGCATCTTAACTTTTGCAAAGTTAAGTTAAATAATCCACTTTGGAAAGGTAAAATAAAGACCCCAAATTAATTTTGTAGGGGACTGAGTCTAATTCAAATTCAATTCATTTCAGACCTAAAAAAAGGTGGGGAAAAATGCTTGGAAAATCTAAAAGGATTTGTGTTTGGATGCTTGAAAACCATACTCAGGGCTTTCTTTTCAATTGCTTAAGAATTAATCAGTCTCAGGAAAATGAACCGACAAACTACTTGTAAGAAATCGCAGAATCAGAGGCAATATTTCATTTTAGACTCAATGATTTGTGTTCCAAAATAATTGTCTTTTTGTCTAAAAAAACTAATAAATCTGTTTATGTTCCAGCCTTTCAATCCTTTTTTTCCAGTGTTCAATTTCACTGCTACCTCAAAGATCATTATTAACTCTGCCTGAACTCCTTGTTCTACTGGTCACGCAGGTAAATGTGTAGCAGCTACACTCAAATATGTAACTCATAGTACACAAAATGTTATACTCAATGTTTTCATCAAGTGATGTATCACACAAAGCTTCTTCTATATTTGCACTATGCTCTAGCTCTTAAAGAAAATCCCATCTGAGGTCTTATTTCTTATCATAGAACTGCAGAACACCAGGCTAGAAGGGAACTCAAGGACAAGTGATGTATCACACAAAGCTTCTTCTATATTAGCACTACGCTCTAGCTCTTAAAGAAAATCTCATCTGAGGTCTTATTTTGTATCATGGAACTGCAGAACACCAGGTTAGAAGGGAACTCAAGGACCACCTGGTCCAACCTTTCTAGGCAAAGCATGATCTAGACTAGATGTCTCTCGTGAGACACCTCCCCCCCCCACAGTCCTGCCTTCAGCTCTGGGGCAACAACACTAGAGGGATGTGGAGCTGTTGGAGTGAGTCCAGAGGTCCTAAAGGGAATATGAAGATGCTGCGAGGGCTGGAGACGCTCTGCTCTGGAGCCAGGCTGAGAGAGCTGGGCTGGGGCAGCTGGAGAAGAGAAGGCTCCTGAAGGGGACACCTTAGAGCAGCTCCAGGGCCTAAAGGGGCTCCAGGAAACCTGGAGAGGGGCTTTGGACAAGGGATGGAGGGACAGGACAAGGGGAATGGCTTGAACCTGCCAGAGGGGAGTCTGAGATGAGCTCTGAGGCAGAAGCTCTTCCCTGGGAGGGTGCTGAGGCGCTGGCACAGGGTGCCCAGAGAAGCTGTGGCTGCCCCATCCCTGGCAGACAGGGTCTTGGAGCAACCTGCTCTAGTGGAAGGTGTCCCTGTCTGTGGCAGGGGTTGGGATTGGATGAGCCTTCAGGTCCCTTCCAACTCAAACCAATCTGGGATTCCACGTCCCAGCACCCTGCCCATATATATAAGAAAGGAATATACAGAAAGGAATTTATGACGTAAAGTGTGTAAAGCTGTCTTTGAATATCCTCCTAAGGTTTCTTTTCAATGAGCATCTTCTAAGCCACTGGTTTCCTCCTCTGATACTGGGTGAGATGCTTACATTTCTGTCTTGTGAGGCATGTAATGTGTTTGTGCATTGCTTGCTCACTAGGACTGATCCCCTGACGAAGCTCATGTGTATGAAGCCAAACACAAGGTCATGAAATGCCTGATGAAAACTGCACCACACTGACTGAGTTCATTCTCTTGGGTTTCACCAACCATCTGGAGGTGGAGAAACCTTTGTCTGGGCTCTTCCTACTCATCTACATCACCACTTTGGTGGGGAACGTTGGCCTCATCGTGCTCGTCCAGCTCAATGCCTGCCTTCATACCCCCATGTACCACTTCCTAAGCAATTTATCTTTCTTAGACCTTATATGTTCGTCTGCCATTGCTCCCAAGATGCTGGTGAGTCTGTTAGCACAGCAGAAGACCATTTCTTTCACTGGCTGTGCAACACAGATGTTTTTCTTTGCTGCCTTCGCTGATGCCGAGTGCCTCATTTTGGCTGCGATGGCCTATGACCGCTATGTGGCTGTGTGTCGCCCTCTTGTCTACACTGTTGTCATGTCCCGCAGGGTCTGCGCCATCATGGTAGCTGGGGCTTATCTCAGTGGAGGTCTGACCTCACTGGTGCACACATCTTTCACCTTCACATTGTCATTCTGCAGCTCCAACGTGATCGATCATTTCTTCTGTGATATTCCCTCACTGCTGGAGCTCTCCTGCTCCAACACGTACATCAATGAGGTTCTCCTCTTCACCCTGTGTGGCTTTATACAAACCAGCACCTTCCTGGCCATCGCTGTTTCCTACACCTGCATCCTCAGCACCATCCTCCGGATCCATGTGGCAGACAACAGGCACAAAACCTTTTACACTTGCACCTCCCACCTCATGGCTGTTGGGTTGTTCTACGGCTCCCTCCTCTTCACGTATCTACAGCCTGGTTCCAGCCACTCAGTGAACACAGACAAAGTGATTTCTGCATTTTATACCCTTGTTTTTCCCATGCTCAACCCCTTCATTTATAGCCTGAGGAACAAAGAGGTGAAGGATGCTCTAAGGAGAATGGTAGAGAGAAGAGTGTTTTCGCAGTGATTTTCTTAGGAGTGAAAAGATAATGTGTTTCTGGTGGAATAGACCATGAAAATACAAATGATGGGAACTACCTGACTTAAATGTATGTGCCTTGTTAGGAATGTCTGCATCTGAACTTACCAGGTTCATTGGTAATCACTGGGAAAAAAAGCAGCCAACTTACAAGGTGATTCACCATATCACGAAACAGAAGCCCAGGTCAGATGGTTCCCATCCCAGAAGGATCCTTCTCCTCTGCTCTAAGTTCTCTCTAGAGCCTTCTCTTCTCCAGGATGAATAATCCCCACTCCCTCAACCTGTCTCCTCTATCCCAAATGCACAGGAAAGGTCTATTTTTGCAGCTTATGCTTATCGAGACAACTCTCAACCAAGATGCTTTAAAGAAAAGTCCTATTTAAACAACTATTACATACACGTGTAATTGTATGTATTAAACTTGGAAAATTAAAACCTTTTGTACCTATTTAGCAGCCAGCTTTGCCATAGCCTCTATAGTGAGAGGAATCTCATCTCCTCACAATTTATGGCACTTTTAGGACTGGGCTTGTTCGTGTTTCACCATGCATCCTTCCTGCTTGTTCTGCTCCCACTAGACATCTTCTGTGCTTTTCATCCTGTGTTTTTACCTTAAAGACTTTCCTACTTTTCCCATAATCTGTTTCTGCCTTTATACCACAAGCCCTCATTTCCCTTCTCATGGCTTAATTAGTTATTTCTGCTTAATTGTGCTATAAAATGTTTGCTGACGGGTATGGTATTGGCTGCATCATAGTGTTACAAAGCACATACACACTGTTGTAGTACACCGGTATCTGGATGCAGTATAAACAAATATGGTACATACTTAGGAAGTTATTAAATATCCTGGTGACTCTTAGCCCAAAACACACATAAATACATGTCTGCGACATGCAGAGTTCACTCATGTGGTATATATCTGAAGTGCAAGCTGAGAACAGAGGCTGAGTGACTAAGATGAATTAAAATGATGTTATTTCTTAGCTTACACACAGGAAACTCTGAACTGAATGAACCTTAGGAAAGATCAACAAATACAAGATGTTTTTGTCATTTTCTTTGTGCGTTGTTTTTAGTGTTTTGTTTCCTCCATTCTTCTGGTTCTGGTTTTTTGCTTTCCGTCCTCACCCCGTGTTATAGCCCCAGGTCACCACCAAGCTACCTTGGTCAGGTGGGAGAAGATAAAAGCTTGGGAAACTTTTCCTTCATCTTTATCTTACGGTGTTCTGTTGGGATGCAGAACAGTTCCTCACGCAGGGAACAGCCACCTATGGGGAAAGGAATAACGACGCATTCAGCACAGGCAGGGACAACATAGGAAACAAAAAGCTTTCGCTTTTTGAAATGAACTTGCAGGTGTGGGATGAGGAGGGCCTGGAGCACAAGTGTGATGGGGAAGGGCTGAGGGACCTGGGGGTTTAGTGTGGAGAAGAGAAGGCTCAGGGGGGACCTGATCGCTCTCTGCAGCTGCCTGACAGGAGGATGGAGCCAGGAGGGGGCTGGTCTCTGCTCCCAAGGGATGGAACAAGGGATGGGACAAGAGGAAATGGCCTCAAGCTGCCCCAGGGCAGGTTTAGCTGGAGCTGAGGAACAATTCCTTGCCCAGAGGGTGCTCAGGGCAGGGCTGGAGTCACTGTCCCTGGGGGTGGTATCCCAAACCCTATAGTTGAAGCCTCAGTGTCAGGGGTTAGTGGTGGCCTTGGCACTGCTGGGGAATGGTTGGACTTGATGATCTTAAAGCTCTTTTCCAACCTAGGTAATTCTATGATTAATTATATCCTGCTTAATACACCGGGTGCGATGGGCTGCTTTGGCTGCGCACTTTCCTGTTGTTCTAGCACTCAACCCCTTCCACTTCCCGGTGCCTGCAGAAGCCCTTCTAGTTCTCCTCGCCCGCTCCTCACTGTGCAGCTGCACTACGGGGCTCCCAGTCCCGCTCTCTGCAAGCCCAGCACCGCTCCCACGTTCCTCCCCAGCCCTTGGCAGCCTGCTCCTGCAGCGCGGGGGCAGAGGAGCTGGGGCACGGCAGCCATGGAGCGGTTTGTGCTGGGAGGGACCTTAAAGC